GGCCCCTTTCACAGGTTTCACACATCAGCCAGAGGCTCTTCTTTACTAGATAAATGCCTTAACCATCGTGCTAGACTTTCAGTGAACTCAGGTTTTCTCCACCCTTTGATTTCAAAACAAGCTCAGCTCTAACCAGGCATCACCTGTGAGCAGTGGAAAAGGAGAAGGCAGTATAAACTCATCACAAGATGTGATCATTTAGAAAGATACTGTTGAAGAAAATCTATGCAATGAAGAAAATCCAATGCAGTGTCTAACTTGTAATCGTAGCTGATGACACTGTTGGTGTTTCTTTTTAAAAAGAAGTTTAGTTTTAAGTAAATAACAAGCAATTTTCAAAACAAGCTAATGATTTCTTTGAAAAACAGTGGTTCATTTCCTGTGTATAAACAGGTAGAGAACAGTCTATTAGACATCACTCCCTCCTGGCTGAGAATATAAAAGATTTTAATTATCTTTTTAATTTGTAAAAATTGCAAAGCTTTGTGAATCAAACTGACCGAATATAAAGTTTAGTCGGAGGAAAAAAGAGTTTGAACTGGGTAAAATCAGTGAATATTTTAATTTTGTAAGTTAAACAATAACTTCTGATTTTCATTCTGATGATGCTATATAGTGTCATTTAAATACCGAGAAAGAATGCATTCCATTATTTTGTTTCTCCGTTCAGTAATTATGTTAAAACTGTAGTATGTGATGCCTAAAGGAGATTGCAGCTTATATCCTTTACTGCCTGACTAGTAACTGTAGAGGACAGAAATATTCCCTAGCTGTATGGGAGGCTGTGACTGAGGAGGAGGCACAGGCTCTGTTTGACATGTCTTCTTCTGTTCTCCTCAAACAAGACATGAGAACAGCTTCTGCTATAGCAGGCACAGGCCATCAGGCAGGGTCAAGCTTCCCACAGGACTTTTCTTCTAGGCCTAACCAAGGCACTGTCAAACTGAGCCAGAATCTTCCTCTTTCTCTCTCTTGGGCTACATAGAAAGACTAGTCCAACTGGGAGAAAAAGTGATTCACTTTTTGGAGAATTGTACCAGGTGTTGGCTGAAGAGATCAGAACCACGATTAGGTCTCTCTGCTCTTGAGGTACCTTTTCATGTATTTGCACAAATGCCAGGTTTGTAAAATAAGTTTTGGTTGAGGAACAGGAACGATCAGGCCCTCTGTGACAAAAAGTTTGTCCTACAACCAGTGAAAATGGATTTCCACTCACTGGTTGATGTAGGCAGCTACTGACATTGTTGGTTTTGCTGAGACCTCATGCAGACTTCTGTTATTGGAGTTTTCTTCTACTCACATATTAATGATTAAATGATATCCAATGATTTGAATTAAATGATCCCCACATAAATCAAGCTTACATCCACAGCTGATTAGCCACAGCCTCCTGATGCCCTTCACTGTAAGATGAAGGATGCTGTGACCAGTGAGATTCCCATGGGCAGGGGGGGGGAATGACTTAGGATTTGCAAGACTGCAGGAGGGAGAACAGGAAGCAGAGTTGACTGGTCTCAACAAATCATTGAATCAGGGGCCTTTGTGCTGTTGAGAGGTGCAAATCTGTATCTCAGGTTTCCACTCTATAACAAAAGCTCAAATTGTAATTACAAAAGAATGAAAGCAGTTTGGCAAAGCAGGCTGAGAAGAGAGCTTAGTGTAAAGATACAGACGTGGTGCAAGGAATATTTTATTACCTTGCATTACAGGTTGCATTGAATCTCAAGCTATTTGTAGGTACTTAGGAAGCAGAACCATAAGCCCAAACAAGCGATGAGCACAGCTCTGTACAGAATACATTAATTCTTATTAAGTAGAACTTTAAAACTGTCAGATACAAAAAACTCAGTTACCCTAGTCTGGCATTAAGAAGCGTGTTGTGATACAGGACCATATGAAATATTATTTGGAAGGTGAATTTAAACTACTTTTGTGAAGAAGGTGATGCATGCTAGCTTTAGGAATTAAAACTAGAAGGAAAATGGATTGGATGCCCGAGATTGACTAATACTAGAATTAGCTTTGTTTACTTCTATGCTAATGGTGTAGAAGGAGAAGTCTGCTATTATATTCACAGGCTGTGGAATTCCAGAAGAGGATACAAATTAAAACCAAAATATTTTGTCTAAATAACCATTGGAAGCACCTGAAGAGTTAGATTTGCTCAGGTTGGGAAATAGTTTTCTAAGCAAAGTAGTAGCTCTTATTTTGGACTTCTGAAACAAAGCAGTAAAATGTAGTCTAATTAATTGTCACTCACCTGGAGATAGATTTGTTTTGATTATGATATTTTCCAAGCTTTTACTGCATAGAGTTCTTTTTAAAAGGGCATCAAGGCTTCAGAGCATCATTTTGAATGTATTGTAGAGAAGCATGTGGTAAATTATGTCATAGACCTCCATAAACAGATTTCAGATGCAGTAACATGTTACTGTATTCCTTTTATAGATTTTTTGTTTGTTTGTTTCTTCAGTGTAACCTTTTTGGTAGTTCTTGGCATTTCCTAAGGAGCAGAGGACCTCCATACTCTGTGCACAGCTGCTGGTGCTGAAAGCTGTCTCATTTCTAGAAAGGGAAATTCTGCTGAATACCTGATGATTGCTGTCCTAAAGGAATTTTTCTTTCATTTTAATCTACAAGGTTTGCCATCCATTCCTCTTTTACTTTGCTGCTCCCAGCAAATTTACAACTGCTGCAGCTGCTTCAAACAGCTGCTGTGCTAACTCAAAACAGATGTCAAAGCCAGAGGTCTGACATTGAGTGGAAATCTACCATTAAATACCACCTCAGTGGTTTATTTGACCCTCCTTGATAATGGGCCACAGAGGAAAACATTTTCACGCTGTATTTGTGGCCAAGCTACTAAATCTCCAGGGAATTGATTCACAGTTAGAAAGTAAGATTGGCAGGCCAGTTTTTTTAAAGCCAAATTCATCTCTTCTGCAGCTCTGAGGACAAACGAGTTGCACTTGTTCAGGTGGATCTCACCAGGCTGTTTTACAGTCATGGTTTTGTGGCAAATGCTTTCTATGAAGGAAGTTCGGAGAGGCATTTAGGGGCAGAAGTTCTTGAGCTAACTGAAGGTGGTGAGAGAGCTTCCTGGGCTTTCAATGCAAAGCCCCTGCTGGTGGATAATGAGGAAGTGGGAGCCAAGAAGTGGTTAGAAATGAGACCATGATGGCTTAAAAGAGCTAAGAGGACATGACATCACATGAAAACATTTGGAGAGGGATCAGTACTCGCCATTATTATTTATCATAGTATTGCTTAATACAGATTTTGTCCTGTGCAGTGAAACTACAAGACCCCATAGCAATAAGTAAATTGCACCAAGAATAGCACCATCTTTTACAATTTTTATTTTTATCTCAGGCACATAAAAACACACAATGCACATTGTCTTCTCTGAGCCTTGCATCAGCCAGGCTCTGTTGTGAATGGGACTAATGTCCTAAGTGCAGGTACTTTCAGCACTGCAAATAATGCAGTTTCTCTTATTCTGACTCCAAAACTGACACAGACTTTTCACACTTTACTGAATCAGTGGAAAAGTACCTTGGAGTTACTATACTGTAGGTTATTCTGGAAATACTCTTCCTGTTGAGCTACCCTGGCCTCTTCTGGACTGTATCCCCTTCTCTGTGTTACGGTTAGTGAGCCCAGGTGAGTGAGAACCCTTATTTCTCCCCTTGGGCACAACAGCACTGAAGTGGCTGAGCTTCTCTGCAGATTTCTGCTGGAATGGTGATGGGGAGGACTAGATCTTTCATGATTTATAATGCTGAGTCCTGATGTCGACTGAGAATACATTAATGAATTTAACAAAACTTCAAGGAGCATTTTTTTTAAGGGAAAAAAAAGGCTGTTTGCATATCCAGGTCTCTCCCATCTGCAGCCTGCCCCTCTCCTGAGTTCAGTGAGAGGGGCAGTGCAGTAGATGCTTTGTGCTCTCTGCTTTGATCTGAATCTGCATAGGTGCATGAAGTCTTTATTTTTGCCTCTGCTTTCAGGTCTGGTTTGATCGCTCTCTGTGTACCCTTGCCTGTGATACAATGTCATGTCAATTTCCAAAAAAGAAAAAGAAAGACTCTCCTACTTTGTAAGGGCTGGAAATCTTGATTTGAGCAGGGATAATAGGCACCCATGGATTGTGCATCAGTATTTTGGTGACTTACAGAATACAAATTTTCGGAACTGTGGCAACACAGGCAATCTTCTTCCTCTGCAATTTATGCCAAGCCATACTTCTTGCCTTAAAACTCTGGGACACGCATTCATTCATATGCAAAGAAGAAAATAAAATAAAATCCATTAAACCCTTTTTAATCTTCCTCCAAAAGAAATTAGCTGTTACGGTAGTAGTGCTACTTTTTGCTGCATTTAAGAAATTCTAGGAATGATTACTCACCACAGACTTTCCTCACTAGCTATTTTGTGTGGTGCAGAGCTATCCCACTTACCCTTAAATATATCCATTTCCAAGCAGAATCCAGTCTGTCTTATGTAGATATTTGAGTTATACACTGTGTAGCTGCAATTTTAGGTGCCTGTGCAAACAGGTGGGCATTTCTGAAGACCTCCGGAAGGATCCAGTATTTTGCATGTAGGCAGTTCCTCTCCTGTTGACCCAAGCCAGAAAGTGTTCTGCTGGATCTCACTCGTGCCCCAGGACTCTTGCAGACCCGACTGTACCATGCTGCAGCTTCTGGAGGTGTTAACTCACCTAAACCTTAGGGCTCTTCCTCTTCCCTCCTGGGAGACATTTTTTAGGGAATTCATGGCTCCTTGATAAAAGTGCCAGACGAGTTCACATACTGTAGGTGCTCATCTGAGTCCTAGAGAACTAGGCAGGCCTGCAAGGTTAAGTCCTTAGCACTGAGGTGACACCTCTCCTGGCTGTCAGGCTCTCTCTGGCACCCCTCTGCACCTCCAGCATGTATGGGGTAGACATAACCTGAGTAGAGGCTCCCCCTTAGGAGCAGAATGAAAGCCCCACATGCAGAGCATGAATTCAAACCTATTATTGTCATTTCTAATACCCACTGGAATCATCTCCCCAGGGAAGTGATGGATTCCCCAACACTGGACACTTCTAAGATTTGGCTGGGGAGGATGCTGCGCCATCTTGTCTAAACCATACTTCTGCCATGAAAGGTTGGACCAGAATGTCCTTCAGGTTCCTTCAAACCTAGTACAATAATAATAATTTTAAAAAACTAGTAGGTATGCTACTGGGGAGAGGGGAAGGGAGATAATAAAACTTCCTCTCTTCGGTACTTTGTAACTTTTGCTGGCCAGGCCCTTCAGAGATTGCTCCGGACCTTTCCATTGCCTGGAGTTGAGGAAACTTGAGGGGTGGCTGTGACCTGTGATGGTCAGTGATGCCATTCGTTCCCTCTGCCCTCTCCTCCTCTCCTTTGCCACCTCGGCTCAGCATTGCTCTGTTGCTGACTCTTGTTCTGCTCCTGGTAGAGCACCTGCAAAGCGATGTGTTGCCTTCCTTCCCTCTTCCGCAGGCTGCCGTGCCGAGGAAAACACTTGGCAGCAGTTAGGTCACTGTTGTGCTGAGCGGTGCTTCCTCCCGCGAGTATCTGTCCCATGTGTCATTTACAGTGACATCTTTCATACCAGCTCTGGGACAAAGATCACCCTCTTTCTTGAACAGCATCTACAGCAGTGACTTCCTTGCCTAAGGCTACGAAGTCTGGCCACACTGGTGCTTGCAGCAGTGTACCAGTGACAGTGGGATGCTGCTTCTGGAGGCAGCAAGCATCTTACTGCCACTGGCTGTGTGATAGGAAGGGAAGCAGAGGAGTGCTTCTGCTGTTGATTGACACCTCGCTGTCTTTCTTTAAAAAAACAAGTATGCTATTATAAGTGTTTGAGAAGAGTCAGTATGATCCAAGTATGGCTTCTGTGAAGGCTCATCAGGAACATCTTTTCAGCCAAACTCGCTAACGACTCCTTTGTTTTAGCAGTATGGCTTGAAAGTGATGAGATACTTTCCCTTTTTTCCCTTTTTACTTGAAATTTTTTTCTTCCTCTGCCCCTTCACTTTTACCATGCTTGCAGATCAGCTTGTTGGAAACATCTTTCAGAATATATTTATCTTGAATGGGAGCATCTCATATTCCAGTGTACAGCTCTAAATGTAAAATACATGTGTGCATGTGTCTATGTGTACACATATATGTTTATATCAATGTATACCTGTATATATCTATGTAGTAAAATGTGAAGTGTCTGGATGAATTGATTTAACATCGAGAAAACATGATTTTACTACTAATACTTATTAGTAGAAGTACTCAAATTGAGAAACTTTGGATGCTGAGAAAGTGAACTCAGATCTACTCTGCCATCCCCAGCCTCAAAGACTTGTAAGTTTGGTTTAGCAGTTTTCTCAAGGGTTTTTGCTAGGTTAAAAACAAAGCCACAGATTACAGAACTGGTTGAATAAATCAGCTCATAATCATCAGTGGATTTCAGGGCACTTTCAGTCTGTGTTTAAAGTGGAAATGTGGTTATTTTATATGAAATTCCTACATGGCAATTGAAGTGTCTCATACAGTATAAAATATATATTCATGTGTGTTTTTTTTCCTTTCTTTTCTGATAATTCTTCCACTTCCTTTCTCTGTTTCTAAAGGAAGAAATGCCCCTGGAAAGCCAGTGAGAGAGGTTAGTGAGATGCAGGCTCACTGCCATGGCTTCTGTTTATCACAGCTTGCTTTTTGTGCCCAGCATGCGTGTGATGACAGCATGGGTTTGCTTGGGTTTGGTGAAGGGCGGGGGTGGTTTTATTTTGCTTTAGCTCTTGTTTGATTTTGCTGAGTGCATTCCCCATGTGTGCTCTGACAGTAGCGTACCTCTCAACTTTCAGTGGAGACACTGTCAGCTCAGGGATCTCCATTTTCTTACATCCTCCCAGAGGTGGAAACTCAGGAATGGGGAGGAGAGAATAATACGTTGAAATTGTGTTTTTCATATGATAAATGTGATCAGCACATCTGTTGCAGTCACTGACTTAAGTTCTGATGCTATTGTATGTAAGCACAACAGAGACCCACATCTCCTGCTGTTCTGCTTACACACTCACAACTGTATTTACATGTGTGTGCCAATATACCAACCATCATTTCCAGTTATTGAATAGTTCTTTTCTTTTTCTTTAGAACAGTGAGAGTTGAGAGGTATAAGAGATTCGGGTGTTTTAATTTCCTGGTATACTGTTGCAGAATAAAGAATGCTACTAACATTCACCAGCTCCACAGTGTCGTATTGTCAGCATTGCAAATGGGCGATGGTTTCCACTGTGCACTTCAGCCATGGTTGGTTTGATGCAGAATAGATTTTAGAATTTGTGTGTCGCTGCTTGTTAACAGAAGAAAACGTTTTGTACCGTGTTGTCATAGCACCTTTGAAAGTATTTCCAAAGAGCCTTGATATTTTCCTCTGTGAAGCTGCTCTTCATTCGCCAACCAGTTAAAACGTTGAAAGATGAATTCCTAGTGAAATTTATTATTGAAGACAAAATATTCAGGGAATGCCTGAGTGCAAGTAGCTATGAAATGACCTTTCCTGTACAGAAGATGTTTGGTGTAGATGAGTCAGAAATGGAAAGAGTAACTTGGTCTGCAAACTTATGCTGTTGCAAAGAGGGGGGCTCATGGAAATGCACTGTGCTGGGAATTCAGCAGAGCTATTGTGAACCTGCAGTGACTGACAGGCTACCCTGGGTGAGCCAGGACATGTTCTAATGAGGTGCCTTGAAATACAGTGGATCTCTGCATTGGCTGTAGGGACTATCTACTTTGTGGTGCAAGGTCATTGGTGCAGGTTAAGTCTGTCCTCAAATGCTAGGTCGTCTCATTTGGATCAAAAAAGAGTGCTCGGAATGTCATGAACAGACTCTACCAGCACATAAATTTTATGGAAATTATTTCACATTCAGCCTGGCATGCTCATACAGCCTGAGAATTGTTCTAGAGTTCAGCAAAACAGGTTGTTGGTTTCCACTACTGTCATTCATATTTATTCATGTTATTCAGAAAAAGCTTCTGCTGCTGAGGGCATATTTGATAGAATTAATTAAGTAACAACAGAAAATTAGGAAAATGGGCATGTCCTACTTGATCGGATTCCAGCAGCTTAACCCTAAAAAAGTTGACTTCAGTGAATCACTCAGTGCTCTCCAGCTGTTTTCGTGCTCACTGATGGTTCCAGTTGGGCCTTGGTAACTTGCAGAGCTGAATATAAAACACAGTTCTCCACCTGCTATTGGAGGGTATGAGTAAGGTATGGAATGAGTGAATCCATTTGCACAAAGGCAGATCATGTGGTTTTAAACCCACCCAGCCAGGTTTTGATCCCATTACTCACTTTAGATATTGTCTTTGTGTCTAATCCCATGGATTTTGTGGCATTACTCAATATGAATAAGGGTATCAAAATCCAAGCCACCAACAGGAAGGATTTTTCTTTTGTCAGGGAAAGGTTAGAAACCTGTGCTACTGAAAAAGGCACTGATTTGTGCTGGGGTTTCTTAATTTACTTTCTTTCCACTCTTTCAAGACTGAATGCTCCATGCTTATTTCTCTGACAAGCCATAGTGTAAGATTGGTATTCAGTTGCTGCACCGTCACCCAAGGGCCTTAATTCCTGTAGAGCCTCTAAAGCAAATTGAGCAGATGTAAAACACATCATTCTATATGTGACCAGGAGTGATGTGGTTAGTGCCTGCAGAAATAGATGTCTTCTGCCTTCAAAGCCAAGGCACCTGTGTTAATATTCCCTCCGTTTTATACGTTTTAAGTTAATACTATCCATGTCCATTTTGAATTGTATAGCTGCATTTCAAAAGTGTGCTGTTTTTTTTTCTTGGGCAGTAGCATCTTTCACCCTTTCAGCGCCTTAAGCATGGGAAAAATGTTTTCAGCTTTAATATTAAAAAAAAGAAAAAAGGGATTAATGCCTTCTTTGGTGGCATTACTTTAAAAATACGAATAGTAATGTGTGGAAAGCTATAGTTTATATCTTTCTAAGTGCTTTGAGGACAGTATTTTTCTCATTTGCTTCTTAATTAAAAATGTCAATGCCTTACATTTCAGTCTTAGGGCAAGTAATCAGTATTCAGTAGAAGTGACAGAGCTATATAGGAACAGTCAGTGAATTTTAGCACTCGTTTAGGTAACAGGCATTATAGGAGAGGCTGCATTCACTGCCCATACAGTACCAGCAAATTATTGCATGTGTTCTGCCCAGCTGTTTGCAGTGGTGGTTGACCTAGCTGTTAGTCCCGTGGGCGAGAGAGGCAGAGAACCTGGTGGCATGGCAGTGATGCCCAGCCGAGGGCTTGCCAACTGAGTGGCTGGAGCACAGCTATCTTGTCCCATGCCGGGACTCTCCCACAGACTGTGGTCCCCCAGCTGTTGCACTTTACAGTCCAGCTGTTAACGTTACAGCTATTGCTCTTTGATGCATCTGTTTCTCTTTGTGTTAGTGCAATTATCAAAATGTCACCAGATTGGAAACGAGTGTTTCTTTGTATCGGTACCTGGCAAACTGTGCCACACAAAGCACAGCACAGCTCGCTTTCCAATGTGCAGTTTGTTGCTTAGTTACCATTTAGATTCAGCATAGTTTTGTGTAATTGATGCTACATTTTAAAAACAAACCCAAAACTTTAAAATCTAGCATTTGAACGTAAAAGGTGGTAGTAGTTCTCCAGAAGAAACAAACTTCTCTGGATGTTTCTCATGTCATTTTTTTCCCTGTCCTGTAAATGCTGGAATCCTGTAGATGCTTGGAAATGCTAACCTAATTCCAAGCTCCAATGTACTGTAGAAACTTCAAGAATGCATGACTACCATAATATTTGAACATTTGGAAGAAGCTGTTGAGTTTGATTTGCCCGACAGGGACAGTTCATCCCTGTTGATAGAGAAGACGGTTGTGTGAGGAAGGACACGCACTGTGCAGATGGGCAGTGCTAGCGACCAGACCCCAGAACATTACAGGTTGGGACTGCATAAAAGGTCTATCCTGGATACCCTGGTCATGTCCTTTGGTCATTTGGGTGCTCCCTCCTCAAGAACCACGCTGAGGACTTGGGATCCGGGCTAACACAAAGCATTCCTGGGATGCAGCATTGTGGGTTGATGATGTTACACCTCCCATGTTTTTCTGGACAGAGAGTCGCAGGGCATAAATCAAACCCCTCAGGCCATAGCAACGTACAATTCTATTGAGTAATGCTTCCCCACTTACATACTTTCAGTTGCTGGCAGTCTGTAGCGTGGGGACTTCCTGAGTCGGAGATCACTTGCACTTCCTTGCATCTAAATAAATCTTTCTTCAGTGATTATTTTCTAATTCTTTTTTTAACTCATTTATGTGTTTGGCTTCAACATCAGCCTGTGGCGATGGGTTCAGTAATACTATTACTCACTGTGTGCAGTATAATTTCCTTCTGCTTGTTTTAGGACCTTCTGTCTGTTCGTTCCTCCTTGTCCTTGCAAGAAATCTTGAGCACTCAGTCCTTTGTTTGGCTGCCCCTCTTGTAGGGTGCCTGGATTGCTGTCATATTCCCTCTTCGGTCATGTTTTTTCAGGAGGGGGACTCCAGGTGGGAATCATCTGTTTAAACTGTGGTATCTCTGTCGTTTGAGATGCCAGAGGGTATTTGAGAAAGTCGTAGAGGGCTGCAGATCTGACATAAGGACTTGCAGGATACCCATGCTCTTCTGAACAGCAGCTGGAGAACAGGCAGGATATACCAAGTGCCTAAAATGGACACTTGTGGCAATTTAATCTCCCTACTTTCAAGTTGTTTAGTCTCCAGTTGTGCTGAAGCCATTTCTTACTGCTGATGAGCATTGCTACCTTTCCTTTCCATTTGGAGTGGTGGTAAAAAGTGTTGTGTTTCATCTCCAGGACTGTACTCTGTGCATATTTGTCACACCTGTGTAGGAGGAGTGTGTGTTGCCATTATAGTCTTAGGACTTTTCAGTGGTTACAACGGAGAAGAAGTTAAGTTGGTAATTGCAGCATCTTTTTTTCTGCTGGACTGCTGTCTGAAAAGCAAAGGATATTTTTTAAATGCTAGAATAAACTACAGCCATTCATTCAGTTTGGTCATCATTTTAGCTATCCGTGCAGGTATCCTGCTGGGACCTCTCGGATTTAGTGATTTGGTTAATTACTGCTATCTGGTTGTTTCTGTTTTTCTCCTTCATAGAACACTGAATAGTCAAACACTTGCAGCACCAGTCGTAACTTCTCCTTCTTGTCAATGGATTTGATCATTGCTCTTGGTGAACGTTTGTAATGTTCATTGCTTTGGGGGGCTTTGGAACACAAACATGCTGGCTTATTGTCAGTGTAGTTTACCACAGCTGTTCAAGCCAGTATTGTTGTCGAGTGTTTTCCAAAACTGGCAACTTTTGCTAACGACAACGTATTGAACTCATCTAGCAGACTTTTGGAAAAAGGACTCCCCGGTGTGCTCCTCTGGGGACAGAGGCAAGCAGTGCATGGAGAGTGATGGATCTGTGCTCAGCCTTTTCTGCAGCATGTTCCTACCCATCCACTGCCACATCTTCCTCGTTTGATTTCCTCTTCTTTGACTTTCTTTTCCAGGCCACAATGTAGGGAGCCTTTTCCACATGGCAGGTGACTTGGGAAGAGCAATGGAAACCTTGGTGACAGTGATGACCGACGACAAGGTGTTAGAATAGCAAGATGTGTTTTACAACTTCAGGCGTCCCGCATGGTTTTTATAATATTCATACTACAAAGAGGATTAGACTGTAAGAGTTTACAAGAAAACAAATATATATTTTTGTGAAGGGTAGTGGTACTATAATGTAGATTTCAGTAGTTTCCTAAGTCTGTTACTGTTTTGTTAACAATGGCAGGTTTTACACGTCTATGCAATTGTACAAAAATTATAAGAAAACTACATGTAAAATCTTGATAGCTAAATAACTTGCCATTTCTTTATATGGAACGCATTTCGGGTTGTTTAAAAAAAAATTTATAACAGTTATAATGAAAGATTGTAAACTAAAGTGTGCTTTATAAAATTAATTGTTTATAGAAACCCCCTTAAAAAAAAAACACAAAAAAAATACTGAGGCAGTGCATTTGTTTAATATCATTTCAGCTCTGTAACTGCATTAGAGAGATTCATGTCCTTTGTTCTTTTCCTTGCCTATCAAAAGAAAAAAAGCATTTTCTGCAGTGACATCAAGACAGCCAGCTTACGTTTCTCATTGGCTTTGTCTGACTAGGGCTGACTTAAAAAAAGTCTCCCAAACTTCCCATGAAGGTAGTTATTTCACCTCTTCCAGTAAAATTAAGAATTACAAGAACCACACAGCTAGTTTGCAATAATTAAATAAAAGAGCACATTACATGACAAAGCCTGCAAAAAACTGAGGGAAAAAAAAAAAACACCCCGAAAGAAAGAAAGGAAGGAAAGAATTCAATGACCATCCTATGCGTCAGCGTTTCTTCTGCTAACTATATTCCCAAATGCTATTAGTGAAGTAACGTAGAAATTGCCTTACTGGGTTAAACCTTTGGACCTCAGTGTCCGCACCCCGCGGGGGTACCAGCAGCCAGGAGCTGGGTGCAGCGCTCCCCCACCCGCTGCCACCACTCATGTCACCGTTGCTGCAGAGGAGAGAAGAAAGGGAGAAGTTCCCTCCTGACCCGCCGTGGGACCAGCTCCTGACGCAGGCAGGCGCGGGGGATGGGCAGGGCCTCTTCGCCTGCGCAGCTCCCAGCGCCGCTGGCCAGCACGAGGCCACTCGGCCGTCCTCGGGGAGCTGGGTCCTGAGCTTTCCACCATCCACGCCTGAAGCCCCTGCAGCCCCTGGGCCCGAGGAGCTGCCGCGCTGCGAGCGACCTCTGGGAAGGGCTGTGGGAGAGTTACTGCTGTCCTTGCACTCGTATGGCCATCAGGTGAAGGTAGCCACACTGCTCCACGAGATATTTATCACCAAAACAAAGGCTCTGCTCCTTTCTCCTTCCCCATTTCTCTGTCCTAGTAACCCCACACAGTTAACAGCAGCATGAGAAAGAGAGGTCAGTGATAGCGAAGCAGATTAGCCAGCCTGACTGCAGCTTGTGAGAGGTAGGTTTGGGTGTGAGGTGCTGCCGACAAAAGCTTTACCACTTCATTTTCTTAACCAGCTTATAATTTTACCTTAGGATACATAGAAACACACCATCTGACTTTATATTGTGAGAGTAAAAAAAAAAAATCTGTTACCTCTTCTTGTATGAAGTGTAATTAAACTCGGGAAAGATTTTATTTTGAATGCTAGTTAACATTGAACATGGCTAGTCATGCTATTTCTACCTCACTTTGGTTTTGTGGTGTTCCTGACAGTTACATACAGATAATGTTACATCATCACCACGTGTCCATTGTGTGACCAGGTCTCATCGTTAAAATAATACCGACAGTGATAATCATTCACAAAAAAAAAAAGTACAATCCCCTCAAACCTCTGCTTTCCTAATAAAGAGCTTTTTTAACACTTTATTACAGTAGGAACCCTAGATATTTCTCACAGTCTTTTTTTATCAGAAGGTTTAAGTTGAGATCTGGGAAAGAGATGGGTTTCTCCTTTTTTTTCCCCCCCTTATATGTTAAACCTCTTCTGAAAAAAAATGGAGGAAAAACAGATTGCACGGTTGTTTTCATCAGGGTTTTGTTTTGTTTGTTTTACTTTCTAGGTATTAGTTTTGGAGTGAGTCTGTCAAAAAGTATTTAAAAGTTGAAAGCTTTATCGCTGCTTTTTTAAGCATAATTTGGGAAATATTTCATATTCCTTAAAATGACAAAGTATTAAACTGTAAAACATAATCAGTGTAGTTGAATACATAAACACCATATGGCATGTTATTTCATTGTTACTCAGTACTGGTTTATTACTTGGATATCATAATATATTGTGTTTTAACACTGACACTGTAACATCTACTAATTATTTTTATAAATTTATGTTCTACCGCATTTTTCACAACATACCAAATTTCACCAAATATATGCCTTACTATTGTATTATATACTGCTTTGCTGTGTATATCAATAAAGCACGCAGTTATGTTCTAAAAGGTGCAGTGTTTTTCCCTGGGGTCCAGCAGCCGCCCGGCGCATCTTCTCTCCTGCAGTTCCCCCCTGAGGTGCGTGCCCAGACCCCGTGCCGCCGGCGGCCAAACCCCTGGCTAGTGACACCTCGGTGCCATGGCCACCTCGCCGGCAGGCAGGTGCTAACACCAGCACTCGGGGTTTGACCAAAACTCCCTGCTCCGTGTTTTTCTCTTCCGCTGAGGTTGTGAACCTCCCGTTTTTACCCTCCTCTGGCTTTTCAGGTCCTGCCAGCCCCAGGCTCACGGCCTCGCCACAGAAGGGAGCCTCAGACCCGACTGTCCTCTGCCGATCAGCCAGTGCCCTGTGCCACCAGGCGTAGTGCGACCAGACGTAGTGCTAGGGACCCCTGCTTCTCTGGGGCTTTGGGAAGGGTGGGTTCCCATCTGTGAGGCTGATCACCCACATCCCGGCTAGTGTCTAAGAAACGCGCGTAGGTTTTGATACCCAGGCTCCACTCAGTTGTGTCACGACACTGTCTTTGAGCTACCTTACGGTGGTAAAAATAATATAATGAAAATAATAAAAAGGCAAGACCAGCATATGTTTGTCTATGACTTTGATAATACAGTAAGGGAGGAGGTGGAAATTTTCTCATTTCATTCACTCAAGGAAATAAATACGCATCCCACATCTACTCTCCCAGACTTGAGTTACTCTGGATTCACTCCCACAGACATGAATCAGTGTGTGCCTTGCTGTACTGAAGTCTCTGAAGGTTACACAATCCACAAAGCACAGCAGCCACCAGTGGCAAGAAGGCTCCTATTTAATTCAATTAAGCAAGCGGGAGGATAGCTTTCTGCTTCTTGCCAACGCTGGAGCAGCTGCACATGAGCAGGCACTGCTGGGTTTGAAGCCTGGCCATGAGTCAGGAGGATGAGGCTTGTAGATGGTCTCATTAAACACCGAAATGAACTGGAACGTTACAAAAGGGCGTGCGAGCAAGGCAGAGGAGCAGTTGGGTGCTGCCTCAGCCCTTCAATGTGCTGGAAGCAGCAGGGAAGGCAAAAACTGCATTAGCATGCCCCAGCCTGCCTCCATGAGACTAGGGCTGCCACAGGCAAGCCCAAACTCTGGTCCTGCAGCTAACCATTACAGGCTGTCCATCACCTCTCAGAAGCCTCACACCAACCAGTGCCAACAGGTTGGCACAATGCACGTCAACAGCTGCTACCTGGAGTAGCAGCTCCAACGTAGCTCTTAAAAGCAAAGCATAGGGCCTGCCAGCCAGCTTCACCACTTTCCCCATTCCCACAGCCCCAGTATTTATAACTCCTAACATCCCAACATTTGATATTTCCTAAGAATGTTTGCCTTGCTTATGTTTAGGCTAGAAATCCTTAATGTAAGGACAAAGCTATTAAACGTTCAGTGTGTTTCCTTTGCTCTTTGGGCAGAAAGAAAGATTAGTTATCTTTAATTTTGGCTGTGATGGTTAACATGCTGCCATTTATGCATAGACTTCACAGTCTTTACCAGACAGATACATACATACATGGGTAAACTGAGGCCCTATTAGTGACTTCAGCTATACTGGCTGGTGGGAGGGTCCCTCAAACTTCCCATCTGAGGCCACACATCTCCCACGCTCCCTGCTACAGGCCGTGGTGGCAGACATTCACAGCTGAGTGTGCCACGGAGTATTTGTTCACTCCACAGCTCCTGCCCGCCACCTCCCAGCCCAGCAAGTGCTGCCTAGCCCAGCCCAGGGCTCACTGATACAGTTTAGGAGCCCAGCAACCCCCTTGCTTGTCCCCCAGGGCTGTGTGAGAGCCCAGGTGCTGTGTGGGCAGCAACACCTGCTCTACTGCAGTGATGGGGCAGGAGAAATTGAGGAGGGGGACAGCTAACTTCAGGGGGGGGGGAAAAAAAACAAAAACCAACATAACCAAACGTCTTTTCAGCTATGAGGGAAAAGCAGGGAAAGCAATGATGTGCAGGATGCAGAAAAGGCCTGCATCTGCCAGGACACACAATTCACTTCATGGCTGCGCCTCCTGCGGGGCACCCCTCGCCCGATGAGGCCAGGCACATGCTTCCTGGGAAAGCCGCACGTGCTTCCACGCCTACCCCCCTGCAGCTTTCCCAGAGGCAGCTCTAAGGCTAGCTGTGACACCAGGAGTGCTGTCACTCCCACACCAGGGTACCCTGAAATAACAGCTGCCAGCTTTGTGGGAAGTGGGTGCTGCAGGATTGACTCAGGCTCCACTCAAACATTTTGCTGAGAATTTGTTTCAGCTCAGAGCAAGCCTATCAACTCATTAGGAAGTGTCATAAATCCTTGTGAGAAAAATGGGGCTGCTGAGACCAACTAAGATGTGGCGCTTCCATACATGAATCCCTGTAAGCTGATAATGCTGTTTACCAGCTAAGGAAGGTGAGTACAGCACATATTTGGTATCTCATAGTGCCAAAAGCTTGGTTAAAAAGCACTCGTTGTTAATGGAGGGATAAGAGTTAAGGGAGTTTTATAGCTACAGAAGTGAGCCACGGAGCTTCACAAACACACGGAGTTGCTGTTTCAGCCTATTGTCCAAACCCTTACTGCTTGTCAACCCAAGACTCATATTAACCAACCTGACAATTGTTTACTAGTTGTAAAGCCCTCTTTTTATTATTATTGAGTGTTACAATGGATATAACATTAATATCTGGCACATGCTTTTACTAGCTGTATCCAAGCAAGTTCTACCTGTTTGCTGATATAAGCAACCTATGACTTGAAAGGTTTTCCTCTCTCATTCTCTCACACAGCGCTATGCACAAGTGCACCATACAGGGGAAAAACAAAACAAACCAAAACAAACCTAACCAACCATCTTTTATTGCCTTTATTGCTTAATGGAAGTTGTTTTCTCTCCATATGAGCATCTCTCCAAGAGTAACAGAATCTTCAGCCCAATCTATTAGTATCCGAAATTGCAACTAGTATTTAAAATATATTTTCATGTACTTATATAACAGGAAATCAAAACATTATGTTAGTTCACTCAGCATTCCCATACTTGTTTCTTTCACACATGCTCTAATTGAATCTGAAGATGATCAAAACCAACAACACAAAGTGCAGTCCTGCAGGTACAGTGTCTTTCAGACCATCAACAAGTGTACTAAGTAAGATAAGGGTTTTCCAGAACACATTATGCTATTAGGGTGAGGACAAGCTGGAGTAAATAAGTCAATTAGACCACCATGAGGCTGTAGAAAGATTGGTTGGTCTCTGTCACACATGCACTTTCACTTTCCACTTCTGCACAGCTGCCTGTCATGAAGCTGCCACCAGCACCTCCTTCCAGCCACTGTAGC